TGGAGCTAGGGTTGCCAGCCTCCAGGTGGGACCTGGGGATCCCCTGGAATTACAGCTCATTTCCAGTCTACAGAGATCAGTTTTCCTGAAGAAAATGGATGTTCTGGAGGGTGGACTCTATGGCATTGTGCCCCACTGAGGCCCCAGTCCTCCCCAGGCTCCATCCCCAACACTCCAGGAGTTTCCCAATATGTATTGGGTCACCCCCTCCCCACCCACCACCACCCCATGTGGCTGCACAAAGCAAGCTTTGCAGGAGGGGGGGGGAATAACAAGGGCTGCACAAGGCACCCAGCCTCCCCAAGCCGGGGATCCTGCAGGGAAGCCTGCTCTCCCCCTCCCCCTTCCCCTCTCTCCACGTGGCTGCTCAAGGCAAGCTTTGCAGAAGGAAGGGGGGAAAACAACAAGAGCTGCTCCAGGCGTCCAGCCTCCCCAAGCTAGCGATCTTGCAGGGAAGCGGCTCTCTCCCTCCCCACCTTCCCAAGCTGAGGAAACAATAACAATGGCACGTGGCTGCTCAATGCAATCCCCAGAGACCGGCTGCAGCCTCCATAGCCCAGGGGCAAGCTCTCCTCCGGCTACAAAAGCCACAGCCAGCCTGGGCACCCTCTACCCTTCCCACCCTCGCTGGGCCAGCTCCTTACCTTTCTGCGCGGGAACTCTGAATGAACTAAAACCCTGTGCAGCTTGCAGCTCCACCAGCCCCAACTGAGGACTTCTGGGAGCTGGGGGTGGAGCTTAGGGCTTCCAGGAAGCAAGCCCTGACTTCCCTCCCTCCCTCATACTTTTTTTTTTTTAAACAACCCTGGGGACCTCAAGCAGCTCACTCGCTCTAACCCTTTCCAGGGAAGACGGAGGAGAAGAGCCTTTGCTCTCTGGCACCAGCCGACGAGGAGACGGGGAAGCAGCAGCAAGAGTCAAGGCGGGAGCTCTCTGGGGAGCCCAGCTGCTCCCCCCCCTCCGGAGGCGCAGCAGGGAAAGGGTTCGCTCTCGGCCAGCTGCAGGGCAGTCTTCACCGCCAAACTTGTTGCCCAGCGGCTGGAACTTTTTGCCTCCTGGGGAAGGGTGGGTGGGCGGGGCGGGGCTGGCCCGAAGGAGCCCCTTTCATCTGCTAACTGACATGTGCTCCACAGGTTTGGCTTTTAGGGAACGCAGCCACTTTTGGGGAGGGGAGGGGAGGGCCCGGAAGTCAGCCGGAACACTTTTCAGCCCAAAAATAGCCCTGGAGAAGGGGAGGAGAGAATTCACTTGGTGGCGGGGCTTGCCGCCACCGCAATTTTGTTCGCTCCTGGGCTGCCGGTGCCAAAAGACCCCTGCCCCGGGGGAGGCTGAGCACCTTCCTCAAAATTTCGGTGGGGGCTGAGGCCCCGCCGCCCCCACGAAGATTATGCCTAGGTGTGACTTCATGACTGTCATGGTGAATCAGCACCTCTCAGCCTCATATTTTAAAATGTGAGTGACAGTAACTTAGCAGTGTATTTTTAGGGCACACACAATGAAGACTGTAAACACTTTAGAGATCAGAAATACTAGTCAGCAGTACTTGAAATCCTTGACACTGAATCCATATTCTATGAAATTTGTGTCTTATTTTATAATCTGCAGCAGTGCTTCTGACCTCCTCATGTTTGCCTTTTATGTCATATCAGCTGAAGAAATGTTACACATAGACATAAAGATAAGCTCTCCAAATATGTGCTTAACTAGGATCTAGGAAGCAGAACTCGAAAGGTTTAAGAATTTTGCCTCTAGCACAGAAAAGTTGCAAACAAAATGTCTGCATCCTCATCTTAATTAAGTTATAAATTACTCTTTGAACAAAATGTGAATCTTGCTAGACTTC